GAAGGATTGAGGGCATTCGTGGGGAAAGGGTCCCACACATAGAGGCCGGGGACACAAGGGGCCACGTGGGTGCCCACAGCCTTGCACGGACACAGCTCAATATTGCAGCAAGAAGCACCTTTGGGTCCCCTATCCCACCCTGGTGGCCCATCTGGGTTCCACAGCTCAGCCCCCCAGGCCTTGGGGACCTCCAGCTGCTTTCGGGGTGGGGGGGCATCTCTCCTACGGCGAGGCGCTGGCAGGAGTGTGGCTGTGCGAGGGGGCTGGGAGCAGTGGGTTTGGGGCGGGCACGGGGTTCGGCCGGCTCTGGGTGTTCCCTCCACCGGGTGCCGGAGGGGCTGAGGGCCGGCGGGCGAACAGGACCCCTGAGGAATAAGAGCAAGGGGGTTAGGGCAAGCCCAGGGTTGGGGGCTCCGCTCACCTGGTTCCCAGCACCCAGGCCAGGGAGGGTGGGACCAGCACCCCTGGGGGCCCTAGCCCCCCTTATCAACCTTGGTGCCTCCTCTGGCCCAGCCACCCTCACCCACAGGGAGCAGCCCCAAGGTGGCCCAGGACCATTTGGCTGGCAACCTAGTATGCTGATCAGCCCTGACCTTTCCAGTTCATTAAATATTTAAGTCCTGAAGGAAAAGCCACTGATTTTAATTGGGGGTGTCTCAGCAGGGCAGCGGGTGAACTGCTTAGCCAGGTAGGTGCACATCAGCGAAGCCTCTGCTCCAGCAAAGCACCCCAACATCTTGCCCTGCACCCACCACCGTGCTCTGCAACCAGCCAATCCCTGCACCCAGCCTGAGACCCTCGGGGCCCACCAGCATCAGAGTGACCCTAAATCCAAGACCCACCTGCAGGACCCATAGTAGGGGATGACCCCAGGTGCCTTTTCACACCCAGGTGCATCCCAAGTCCATCCGTCTGTCCATCCGTCTATCCATCCCTCACTTTGGTCTTTCATTGCTAGCCCCTGCTGGGGGCCAATTTCCATCCTCGCCGACCCCCTCCTTCTCCTGCCCCCTCTCCCCAGGCCCTGCCACTTCATTACAATGGATTTTATAGTAAAGACATCAGATTGAAGGAAGGACTTGCTGGCCGGGCAGTGGCTATAAGTTATTGGATTTCCCGGCCGCAATTACACAGGCCAAGCGGCCCTTCTATTTACCTGTGTAGACAACTCCATTTATTTCTATTGACATGTTGATACTGCTAATGCCGTTGGTGGACAGGTTCAATGCGGTCTCCTGTCTGTCATCTGGGGAAAGGAAATACCAATATGAGCATTAAAAGAAACAGAAACAAGAGCCTGCCCAAGAGAGAGAAGCAGGGCCCTGGCCTCCCTGGGCATCCCTGCTCCTCTCCAGCTGCTGCTGCTCCCTCCTGGGGTGCCAAGGGATGGGGTGACCCAAGCCGAGGTGTTGCGTCTCGCTACCTCGGTTGGAGATCTTGACATTCATGGGGAACTGTGAGGCCACGGCCAGGAGGTTGTGCTGCAGCGCGTGTTGCACCAGCCGCTGCTGCTCCTCCGCTGTCAGGGCCAACTTCTTCTCTGGGGGCTCCCCCGTCTCCAGCTTCTCCCGCAGCTGCTCCAGGCAGCTGCTGCTTGAGCCGCTGCGAGGTGGTGCCCGGCCAGTCCCACCGGGATAGCGATGCGCCCTGGCACTGCCGCTGCCAGCACGCCATCCTCTGCAACGACCGGGAGAGCTCAGCAGGTGCCCCTGTCACCACCCCACCTCACCATCCCCAGCTGGTGCCACCTCCATCCCAGTGGCAGAGGGCAAGGTGGGCCACCACCCCCAGCATCTGGGCTTGGTCCTCACCCAAAATCAGGAGAAATAAATCTTTCTCAGTTCCAGAGAGGGACTAAATAAACAAAATTGCTCCTTTTTCCCTCACTAACTACAAAGGGCAAGAGCAACCAGGGAACATCCCTGCTGCCATAGCAGTGTCCATTCCAGGGGAGAGATGCCTGCCACGGGTCAGACGTGGTCCTCACCCACCTTTCTTAACAGCATGCACCTGCCCAAGCTGGCTGCAGCTGTGTGTGGAGATGCTGAGAGCCGGCAGAGGCATTTTGGGGGAGCCCAGCAGGGTTGGGGTGCCAGCTGGGGAGTAGTTGAAGAGCGCCGTGCCGAAAGTCTGCCTCCGCCCCTCCCGCCGGTTGCTGTCGATGGCAGCTTGGAGCTCCACGGGAGAGCTGAGCGCCCGCTTCTCACATTCGTAGGGATACAGGTACTTCATGTATCTGCACAGGGAGAGAGCCACGATGAGACCCCGCACCACGCGCCTCCCAGCCAGCCCTGTGCTGAAAGAGGACTGGGATGAGGATGGCACCTGGGAAGGGGCAGAGCCCTCCACCCCACCTCGGGGCACCTCATGCTGCACCACGGTGGGGGATCAGGGACACCTGAGACAGCGGGTGCCCCAGGGTGGGTGAACCCCCACCCACTGCCACAGCCAGGCACTCACTGCGTGCGGAGCGTGAAGGCAGCGCTGGTGATGGAGGTAGGTAGGTTGAGGCCCTTGGTGATCTCCCGCCAGATTTTCTTGTTGATGACTTCGACCAGGCCACCCTTGTCCGTCACCAGTCGGTACAGCGTGTACAGGTCCAACACTTGCTTGGCCATGATGGGGATGCGGTTCACGGGCGTCCCTTCCAGCCATGCGCAAAGGAGAGAAAAGGGTGTGGGGTGAGCCCATGGGGACACTTGCTTCTTGGGGATACAGCCCCTGCCTCGTCCTCACTGCCACTGCAGGTGCTGGCCACCCTCAAAGGGGAGATGCATCTCTCCGCACCCCGGTGAGCACTCACAGGCACAGGGGCTGCAGGCAGGACCCTGGGATTCCTGAGAGAGCAGCACCGTGCCCATGAGCAGGGCAGATCCTGGCATGCTGGCACAGGGTCCCATCAATGGAGCTGTCAATGGGGCTGAATACGCTTTCAGCTGGGATGTAGGGGCATAGTGGGATGGGCAAAGTACCTCTTCCAGAGCTCCTTAGGAGGGTTGTCCCCCCACAACTCTTAGAGCTCCCTATAGAGCATCTTCCCTCAAAATCTTTCAGAGCATCCTAGAAGGATTCTCTTTGTAATTCCCTTTCAGAGCCCCAGAAAGAAAGACCCCCTCTAAACTTTAGAAAGGGACTCACCCTATAACCCTCTCTGAAGAGCAAGTCCCCCCATAACCCTTTTGGAGGGACTCATCCTATAACCTCCCAATAGAGAGATTTTGTCTCTTAAAAATCCCCTTCCAGACTCCATAGAGAGGGACTCCCCCAGGAGTCCCCAAAAAGACTCCCCACCCTACAGACCACTCCCAGCAGCCCCTCGGCTGCTTAAAGGTCTTCAGTGACCCACCTCAAGATACCTGACCCCAAACCCCCTTCAAGCACCCTCAGTAGACACCCTGATCCCTGGTACCCCAGCATCAACCCTCCACTGAGGCCATGGGGCAAGGAGACATGGGGTTGCCAGGTCTCTGTGAGCACTGCATGGTCCTCACAGCCACTGGGTCTGGTTACAACCCCCTCCTCACTTTTCCAGCACCCTCAAATAGCCTCACAGCCTTGCTCTGCCCCATGGAACCTCAGGGCAATGGTCCAGGCAGCGGCTGGGGCTGCAGCAGGGCAGAGGACAGACAAGCATCCCATCCCGTCTGGTCCCGTCCCACCCCATATTTATTCCTCCTGCGGGATGGCGGGGCGCAGGCGGTATCGGAAAGCCATCCATTTGGCCAGGGGAGGCTGTCACGGCTGCGCTTCGCCCCTCAAACGAAGCCGTCACTCACCGCTATCCTCCAGCATCCCTAATTTATGGCCCCGATATTGGCTTGGCTCCTTCACATAAGCCTGAAAAATGAGCTCTTTTTATTCCTTTACTGAGTTCATTTAACTTTTTTTTTTGTGTCTGTGTTGTTCAGCCGGTTGGGAAGGGGGAGAGGAGTTTATCCTCCCGGGAAAACGGCAGAGATATCGACTCGATATCTGCCAGCGGTCCCTCACCAGCCCTGCCTGAGGTCTGCCGACACCGGCTCCCCATCACCCCAAAATGCCAACGAGTTTGTGGGATCTCAGTCCCCGATCAAAGGCCCACGGACTTCTTTTCTCTTCCCTCCTCCCCAGCAGTGGTGGACATTGAAAGCAGCTCGCTGTTAATCTTGGGGCTGTGCGGGGCGCGTGGCGGGTGGCTGGTGCCCGTCTTGCTGACAAAGGGACCTGTCTGCCCCCCCGTCAGAGTGATGGCCTCAGCCCCGGCCAGGGCGAGAGGCACAAAAGCCCAAGGAGGTGATGCGGCCACCGTGGCACTGCAATTAGCTCCTTGACTGATTAACGGCCCCGTGTTATCAGCAGGTCCATCTGTTTGGAGAGGAGATGGTGGGGACCCTGTGGACCCCTGGTGAACAAATGTAGAAACAGGTCCCCTGTGTCCCAGCTTGCCACTTTTGGGGTGCCACAGAGGGTGGGGCATGAGGATGAGGTGTCCCACTGACTGTACCCCAAGTCTGATGAGGGTGATGGTATCGCCCCCACATGTCACTGAGGCTGTGTGAATCTGCCCTGTGCCATGGGTTCCTCGATGTCCCCAGCCCATTTTTCAGTCCCACTAATTTTCCACTCCGCGGACAAAAGCCAGTGCTGAAACTGCTCTGGCAACAGCAGTGGGGATGCAGCCCCTTTCATTAGGGCTTATCTGTGGGCATCATTCCCCCCGGCCCACCGCCACTTTAAAGACACAGTCAAGGGGTCACAGACCCCTGCCCATGCACCCATGGGTGCCCCAGCAGCACCCATGCCAGCTTATGGGCGCTGCTCTTCAGCTAGATCCCGATGACCTCAAGGATGCTGTCCTTGCCCCGCAGCTCCTCTGTCCCCGTTCTCCTTGCTACCCAGCTCCAAAATCTTCCGCTCCTCCAACTGGCAAATGCACACCCGCACCTGCACACCCAAACCTGCACCCACACCCCTCTGCCTGCCCTCCCCAGGGGGATGCCACCCACACGGAGGAGGCATGGGACAGAGGTGACAGGAGCCGGGCAGCCAGATGCAGAGTGATGAAGAGCAGCATTGGCAGGGAAGCATCGGGTTCCCTCCCTCCTCCCCGCACCACCAGGCACTTGCTTAATTAGCCCCGGCCCCAATGGCGAGGGAGTTAATTAGCTCTGGAGAGAAAGATAATGAAGCCTCGGAACAGCCCATGAATCTTGTGGCTGATGGATGCTGGGGGGGCTGAGGCTGCACTGATGCTCCCACTCGCTCCCCATAGCCCTGCACCAGGGCCAGGGGTATCAGGGGGCACCCACAGGGCAGTACCCAGGCCCCCCCCCGCCTCCAGCTGGGAGCTGGTGTGAGCCCCAGGGCTGTGCCAGTGCCCTGCAGCACAGCTCTGAGTGAAATGAGTTTGTGAGGTCTCAGCCCAACCCGAACGTTGATCACTGCCACCCACATGGGTGGGTGGGCCCCTCCACTGCCCTTTCCATGGGCACAACGTGGGGCAACTCCCCCTTTCTGCCCAACCTCACCCTCCACACAGCCCCGCTGCTCCCACACTTCCCCCCCAGCCTTCCCCCGTTAATTAGCTCAGCATTAACCTCTGCCTGGGGTTTACTGGCTATTGAGCGGCATGTTCATTAATCCACACACTGGCAAAAGGCTCTAATTAATACGGCCGGCCACACGCCCGCGCTCGGCAACTTTTAATTGTCGCAGGCCCGGCTGGGGAGGGCGAAGGTTAAACCATTTATCGAGTCCCCGGGAGCTGGCTTGGCCCCCCATGCCGATAGTAAAGATTTCCGATGCGGATGGGCTGGCTGGCGAGCCCTTAACCCCTGGGCGCCCGGTGCTGCCCAGACCACCAACCCCACTCCTGCGGCATCCAAGACATCGCTAAGAGGTGCCGGTAACGGGCATCCTCATGGGACACGAATAACGGGGAGCACTAAGCAGCATCGCTAATGGGGACTGCTAAGGGCATCCCCACCAGGCATCACTAAAAGGTCCTCCAAACTGACACTCCTAATAGGCATCATTAATAGGCGCTGCTACGGGTTGTCACCAAGGAGTAAGCTAGTGGGCACCTCCACCAGGCATTGCTAGTGGGCATCCCTGCTGGGCATTGCTAATGGGCATCCCTAAAAGGAATCCCCGCCAGCCCCATCCTGGGGGGCCCAGGGGAGACCCTCTGGCCAGCAGATACCCCATGGTGGGGGGGGATCCACCTGGGGCAATGGGGGCAAATCTGCTGAGTGTGAGTCTATGCACGTGCATGTGTGTGTAGGAGATGGTGGGGGGAGGCCCCGCAGGACCTGCCTGGGAGGCTTGTAGAGACCCACAGGAGCTCAGTGCCTGAGAGGGCCACACTGTGAGCCCCCCCAGGCAGCCAGGGAGAGGGTGCCAGTGGTGCCCACCCCAGCCACCTGCCTTTACCTCTCTTCTGCATGAAACTGAATAGGTCGTCCAGGAACTCCTTGCGTTTCGGGTCCTCGTCCAGTTCATAGAGCTGGAGGTGAGAGAGAGAGGGGTCAGCGCTGCCAGCGCATGGGGGTGCATGAGGCAGAGAGGGTTAATGCCAGGGTCAGGACCACTGCCTGTGCCAGGACCCAGCATCACCCCGGCCCCAGTCGCCCTCTGTGCCAGTAACAAGAGGCTCTCTCTGCCCCATGGACGGGGCCTCCTAGCACACCCTCCATGCCCGCAGCAGTGGGTCCTCCTCATGCCTGGGGGCTGTTGCAGGCTCCCCACACACCATCAACTGTTTTACAGGCTTTCTGCAGAGACACTGCATCCATGCCTCAGTTTCTCTGCCCCTCTCCTCACTAGATAGAGGGAGGACAGCACTTCAGCCCAGGAAGGTGATCCCACCATAGACAGAGCAGTAGCAAATCCTGGGCTCCTGGGCAGGTCCCTGGAACCGGGATGCTGAGCCCTGCTCTGGCCTAGCAGCCTCCCAGCAGTGCCCAGTGCCAGCGTTCAAAATCCCAGCAGGGGATTAGCATCCTCATGGGCAGGGACACGCATCCACCCACGCAGTGGAGATGCCGGTCCCTTCTAGGAGCAGGGAGAGCTGGTAGGGCCACTGTGCTGGGTGCTGGTGAGGGAGCTGCGAGTGCTGGGGCTGCCCCACTAGACCAGGGTGACAGGGCTATCGATGAGCAGATAAGCATGGCCTGAGCCTTGCCACCACGAGACGGGGCGTGATCAATGGCCAAAGGACAGTGCAAGGCTGTCCAAAGGCTCCTCCCTCAACTGGGCATGGCGACCCAAAGCCATCTCCCCTGGCCAGGCACGGGGACCCCAAATTCCTTGGCTGTGCAGGGGGACCAGGGAGAGAGCACAGCAGTGACACATCCCCGCAAGGCACACGGACTTTCTGCAGTGAGTGCGCATGTGCCACGCCAGACACGTGTGCACCATGCATGAGTACACCAGCACGAAACTGCAACTGCAGTGCCAGGTGTGCACTGACACTGGTGCTCGTGTGTCCCGGAAAGTTTGTGAGTGCACTGACACGTGTGCAAGGCGGTATGAGTGCACATGGTTGCATGGATTCGGCTGTGAGGATACTTATGTGTGTTGGATGGATTCAGGTCTGGACACACGGACACAACCCCCCATCTGATCGTACAGATGGCACCAGGAAGGCGAGCGCAGCCGGTACACCAGGGACACGAAGTGCCAGCTCCGAAAAAAAAAGCTCGTCTGATTCCAGCACAGCGCCTGGGTGACCGTGACAAATTGGAGCCCGCCAGATCGATGGCCCAGCAGTAAAAGTCAGAGCACATGAAGGAAAAATTAGCACCAATCGAAGGCGCTATAGACACCAATTCCTCCCAGCGAGCCTGGCAAGAATTTAAAGCCATTGAAAAGAAACAAAACTCAGCAGTCCAGAATGGATTTCCAAAACATATACAAAGAAATGCAAGCTGGAAAACAAAGTCAGGCACAAAATAGAGTCGTTTAAAAAACAATTGTGCTGGGAAAGGCCGTTAAAAACCAATAGAAAGGGAGCACCCCCTCCCCTCCACACAGCACATCATTCACCAGACAGATAATGGGAGCTGTGCTGCAGGGATGACAGGCTGTGGGGACACGGAGACATGGTGATATAGGGATGGGGGGACATGGGGACACACAGCGATGCAGGGATGCTGGGATGCTCCTACAGGCACCCCACAGTTCCCATAGCTGGACAGACACATCTAACACAGTCACTCTTCTAACCCATGGGTGCCAGCTGCCTGTCCCTTGTCTAACAGACGGCTGTGAACTGTCTGTCCATAACCCAGTCTATGGGTGCTGCTGCCTGTCTCCCACGACACCCACGGGTGCTGACTGCCTGGCTCCAAGCCACTCCACGGTGCTCCATCCCTGCCCCTTCCTTGCCACCTCTCCATTCCCTCCCTGCAGCAGAGTGCTCTCAGGGTGCCTCGAACCCTGGCTGCCAGCACCCTGTCCCTCTCCTTCACCGCTGTGCTCCCTGCCCCGCTCTGTGCCCCCTCCCCATTGCCTGCCCTTTCCCAGGAGCTCCTCGAGCCATCAGTTATGGGAAAAAGGTCTGGCTTGGAGCAGAGCTCCAGGGGGACTGCTTTAATTTCTGCCCTGGGAAGGCTGAGCTAGCCAGGCTTTGTCTGTGCTTCCCCTCCTGTCCCTGCCTGCAGCGGGGCTCACACCCCAATCGCTCAATACCAAGCCCATTTCTAGACCCTGAGATGTCCTGGCTTGTCAAAGTAGGAGCAAACTCCCCTAAACCAGCAACTGCTCCCCATCCCATGGCAGGGAGAAGCCACCAGCTTCCCGAGGGGTCAAAACCCAGCTCTGCTGAATCCCTGGGTGCTGCTCACATTTCTGCTTCCGCCAAGGCAGGCAGGATCCCACCTGGCATGTACCACCACTGCCTCCAGCCCCCGAAACAGGTGTGACCTCCAAGTGCTGGGATCGCTTTTTCCACCATTTATTAACCTCTAACCTTTTACCTGTGGGGCACTGAGATGCAAAAACACATTACATCAAATGGGGAGCAAAGGTCGGCTTTTAAGTGGAGACGAGTAACAGGGGACGCACCGGGTGTCCCATGAGATTTCAGGATGCTCAGGCAGGAGAGGAGGCGGTTTTGGGGGATTCTTGCTGCTGAGGGGTGGGCTGGGTCCCATCCAAGGCTGGCAATGAGATCTAGGTGCCACAGGTTCACAGGAGTGCCATGGAGTGGCACAGGTGGTGGTCTGCTACAGGCTCCAGGCATGGAGGGACCCCCAGACACCCCCAGGCCTGAGGAAGAAGCCATTTCCATCCTCCCCAGGGCATCCTCTCACAGGATGGGCACCGCAGACCCTTCCCGCCTCACCTGGGGACTGACCATCTAAGTGCCACATCACAGCACCCCAGGTTCACACACAATCCTTGTGGGGACACACATAGCTCACGTGGGTGTACACAACTCCACAGGCACTGACACAACTCCACACGGGTGTGTACAAGCCCACACAAGTATGCACAGCCCTGTATGGGCTCGCACATCCCCACATGAGTGTGCACAACCTTGTGTGGGTACACACGACTCACATGAGTGAGCACAAACCCTCCCGGGCTCACACAACTCCATACAAGCGTGTGCACAACCCTGTACATGCACACGCATCCCCCAGGGCCACACACAAGCTTGCACAGGCACGTACAACCCTGCACAAGCACGCACAACCCTGTGCCGGTGTGCGCAACCCTGCACGGGCACACAGACCATTGCGTGAGTGCGCACAACCCCGTACACCCACACAGAACCTGCAGAGGCACAAACCCCTGCACAGGCACATACAACCCCATGTGGATGTGCACAGCCTGCGTCAGGCACGCACAAGCCCAGGTGGGCAAGCACAGCCTTTCACCGGTGCACACAACTCTGCGCGAGCACGCACAGCCCCATGCGTGCACGCAGAGCCCTGCATGGGCATGCACCGCAGAGGTGCATGCACAACCCCAGGCGGACGTGCACAACCCAGTATATGCACGCACAAGCCTGCACGTGCATGCACAAACCCAGACGGGCACACACTCCCCTCCGGACGGACACCCGCACCCCAAAGGGGCACACGCTGCCCCAAAGCATCCCCCCATCGTGCACCTGGGAGCAGACAGGCAGGCCTTGCCTAGGGGCAGTTGTGCAACACGAGCAGCGGCTCCTGCTTGCGGTGACCTATGAGCAAGGACCCTTTTAATCGTGTTTGTATTGATATAATTAGTAACTCATTTAACGCCATCGATGTAACTATATTCCTCTATAAACAGAAGTATTAAACTGTCAAGCCCGGGGATCGATACCCGCTGGTGCGCAGCGCAGATCCGCTCTGCCGACCTCAGGGACCCCGTCCATGGTGCTTGGACCCCCCCAAAAGCTGTGGCACCCCCAGCACCACTCCACCTCCAGCTGGCATCGCTGCTCGGGTGCTGGTGCAGGGCCAGAGCAGGGTGTCCTCGTCCCCACCCAGCTTCGGGGACCCCACGCCCTCCCATCATCCCATCGCCATGGCGACATCTTTATTCCTTAAGGGATGAGGATAACTGGGCTTGTCGGGCAGGTTAAAGGTCAGCGGGTCGAACACGGTTTATTAAAGGGACGTGAATAGACCTTGTGCCTCCTCCTCCTTCCCATCACAATTAAATAACATTGTTAGCACCTCTCACTCACCCAGGAGATGCCTCTCCTGGAGCTGGGGAGGGGGTTGTAGGGCTAGGGCTGGGGTCCCTGGCACCCCTTAGCTAAGCTGATCCCCTAGGCAGAGGAAGGATGCAGTGAGGTGCTAAGCCACTCCCCAGGCATCTCCAGGCTGCCCTTGCCCCAGCGAGCCCCTCCATCGCCACCCCAGGGCCCTGCTGCCAAGGGAACCGATGGCAGTGGGACCCCCTGCAGCCCCCGCGCAGCTGCCACCTCCTGCTGGCAGCGAGGGCTCAGATCGGCAACCAGGATTTAATCCACTTAATACAAGCTGTATCGATCCTGGACCCCGCTCAGCTCCCCTTGCCTCTCATCCCCCCCCAACCCCGAGCCGCTTAATATGCACCGCATTGATTGGCCACACTGCTAATTTTTCCATCTGGCCACTGTTCACGCAGGGAGCTCAGGTGATGCTCGTCCCCATGCATCCCCCCCCAGCTCCCTGGGGTGCAGCTGCACGCTGCAGGTGGCCGACTGCTCTGACAGGCTAATTTGGGGTCCTTGCCCTTCTCTAGGGCATCACTTTTGCCTCCGAGCTGGGGGTCTCTGGCTCACTCCCCAGGGAGATGGTGCACACTCAGGCACTCAGACACTGGGGTGTCCCCTGCTGTGTTCTGATGGCATGGGGGGACAGGAAAGCCCTCAGCACCCCAGTTTACCCTGCAGGCTTGCAACCCTAGGAACTGGCTTTTTCCAATCGATGCACAGCCCTGAGCACCCCAGGGTGCAGGGACCCCAACAGTGTTCATAGTCAGAGCCCCCCTGCCGTGTCCCCCTGGTCAGAGGGCACACAA